TTTTGTTGGCTGGAGAGGGGAGAAAGTGAAGGGCAAAGGGCTCCTCTAAGTGTATGATCGAAAGAGGATTTGTGAGGGGTGGTACTGTTTGAGGGGAACTATATGGGAGGCATAGGAGGGGCTACAATACTGGAATAGGCATCCTCGGTCTATAGGCAGAGAGAACCTGCATGTCCCACTTAGTCATAGACTCAGACAGGACAATAAAATGAATTAATAATAATAAATTACCTCGAAAATTAGCTATCTCCGACCCGGAGAAATGAAGAGCAGTCAAATTCTATCAGAACCGAAAGCCGGATCGATGGAAAATAAGTCTACAGGTATCGCCATTTCTACACCACCGAAACTTGACAAGGTCCCTAAACAGTCTAGCGATTTAAATAAGAAGTGAGCACATGGGGCTCAGTATTGAGTCTAGGCTGTCCATGCGGCTGCTAATCACAGAAGCCCAAGCATACGATAGTATCCTGCAGTCGATGGTCAAATGGTAGAGCTGAGATCTGGAGACAAGCCAGAGATCGGCCCTACGAAGCGATGACAAACAATCCTGGAGACGTCGAAAGGATAACACAGTGGATCCAAAATCATGGTTGGATGGAGCAATTCCAGATGACCACGGCGGTCGAAATGCTGCTGATGGAAAGGAACAGGACAAGCCATTTATAGGGTCGATAGAGATGATTTAATTAGTTAATATAGAGGGCACCATAGTGTAACTGCGCTTCCCGAAGGAAACATTAGAAAAATATAGACAATAAACAGGAAGGTGTGGGGATTTCCCTAAAAGATTTCCTCCCATTTAAACTAGAAAGTATGAAAGACACCAGAGATTTAGCGGGTTACGTGATGTGGTTATGTAACTAGAACTAGTAGCGCGGTGGTCGTGTATCTACGCATCGTAGAGAGAAAACAATAAAGTACTTGCGACCTCCCACAGCTCCGAACCCCAACATATTTCTGGGGACATACGCAGGAACTCTGGAGTCGCAGTGTACATAGGTCGTAAGCAACGCAGTTATATAACTCCCACTTTTCCACACGCTGTAGAACAAATATTCGTGAAAAACATCTTGAGAACTTGAGGCGAGATTCCGGGAGCAACCTGCAACATACCATCGAATTGTCAATTGAATCACTTGACTCACGGAAACACAGTCATTCTTCTCCTAGAGAATTAGCGATCATAATTTCCTCCTTTGGTGCAGAATGTCATCTCTTGCAAAAACTCTTCATCAGCATAGACTCCTGTTTGAGATAAGCCATAAGAAATCTGAGAGTCGACAGTTTTTATTTTTTTTATTTTCTCTCTCATTTTTTTGCTTCTTTCTATTCGTCCTGGCCAACTTTCGAAGGACACACTCATTGAAGATTGATAGCTTTGATAGCTCATCGGAATCATCTGAGGATTTCTTTAATTCTGTAGAAGCTACTGAGTTTAATTTAAGGATCCGGGAACTGCCCGTCCAACCTATCAATCCACACCATCTTTGTCCTCAATCTCTTGAGTATATCCTCCACAGAGTTCCAAATATCACTACTAAAATGGCCACAGTGAACAAAGATTTTGTCGAGTCGTTCGATGGCACACGGACAGAACGATTTTTCCGCTTACTGCATGACGCGTTCGATGAATCTGGTGTTGAATGGACACCTGCACAATTTGTCAAGGCAATCGACAGAAAGAGTAAAGGCGCAGCGTTAGACGTGCTAGAGCGAGACGCGAGATGTTGTCAACCGATGAAAGATGCGACTAGGCCCGCACTTTCGGTTCCTGCCTTGGATTTCGCCCAGGCGTCGATATTTTGTAGGAATTCTTGAGCTAGGCTCATTTTCTACTTTCAGTCGCGTTCTGATTGCTCCATCGCGGCAGCAATCCCAAGACGGCTCGGGTGGAGGTGGTCACCTGGGTCAATTGATGCCGAGGACGACGGCTGGTTAAGCGCAGCCATACTGCTGCTTGATAATTCTAGTAAAGATAATTTGAGACGTGAACTGATGCGCTTTGTGATTTTTCTAGATAATTTCTTCTTTGGCTGGATGATTGGTAGATGTAGATTGAGATGTTGTTGAAATGTATGATGATGATGATTATGATGATTATATTTATCGTGCCAGGCTTACATCCTCTATCCAATGGACATGACACGCATGGAGGACATCTAGAATGCAAGTTCCTCCATTCTCCAGCAAAGCCCATCTGGTGCCTGACTTTTCCAAATATGTGCCTCACGCTAGTTACATCGGGTCGAATAGGTAAGAACGCATTCACCATGATCCTAAGACCATGTATTGAGGGAAAACCTTCGTGGGAAAACCTCAATAATTCCTCCTGTACTCTTTCACGACGAGCAGCTGTAGTCTCCCCTTAGACAGGCCGTGTAGGAATGCAACCTACCACTTCTAGAAAGCACATCCAGCAACCGACCATCTGTGCCAACAGCATGTTGAAAATCACATATCGTTCTAACCAAATTCTCCCCTGAATTGCGCTCAACCCCCATTTGAGAAGGCTGAAATTCCGAAAATGAGAGCTCGAAACCGAGGCATCGGTGCCCCAGCTTTTGTCGTACATTGTTCGTTGTCTGAGTGTGGCTTCTTCGTTCGCGCCGTCTCTGGAATGTGTCAAAAAGTTGAGAATGTTGATGTTGCGGTCGAGGTGCTTGTCAAAAATGAGGCCGAGCAATTGTCCAGTCCTGCACACAATGTTAGTAAGGTTGAGAGCGAAAGGAATTTTACCTTTGATTTTGGAGGGTTGTTGGTGACTCATAAAGTCCTCCCAGTCAAACTCAATCGGGAAGTTGTTAGAAGACTGAATAGAAGAGACCCAAACATGAACTTTTGATATATCGTGCCGGGAACGGAACCTGCCCATGTGTCAATCGAAATCGACTGGGCCACGCTCAGCAAGCAGCCGTTGCGAAGGATGCGATTCTTCTTGGCTATCCCAGATATGCAGAGCATACTGAGCGATTACACCAGCACCACTGGAAGGTGAAGAAATCGACTTTGCCGGCGAAATGTATGATGATTTGATTTTGATTAAATTTAACGTCGTGCCTCTCCACAGCTCGTAACCAATGGGCGGTGATAATGATTCTGATGATGTAATAATAAGTGATTAATTATTTGAATTTGATATCATTTTTCTGATTTGGCGCTCCGGCAAAGACGAATCCTTCACCTTCCAGTGGTGCCGGTGTAATCGCTCAGTGTGCTATGCATATTTGGGATAGCCAAGAAGAATCGCACCCAAATCGAAGTCAAAAGCTATCACAAGCATATCTAAAATCGACGACTTCTCGTCAATGTCGGACCTACCATTCTCACGCGAGTCCTCCAACTCAATCTTACTACACCATCTCGCCTCAAATACCGATAATGGCGTTAATGGCGTTACTCCAATTGCAATCAGGCATTTGCCTCATAAAAACCCGGCCATCTCCCACTGCACATTTACGATGCTATGTATACCCGCGAGGAGGAAATTAAGTTATAATCTACAAAGCTCGGGTCTTGGTATATAGGGGACCGTTGCTCTAATGGGGCTTCACATCTTGAAAGAGGACAAGCAACTGGGACGTGGGACTAACGAGCGAAGAGGTCATAAGTGGGTATACTGGGACATACATTTTTCGAGTGTCTTCGACTTAAGATTGTCTATGGGCGCAGAAGCAACGATTTCGAATAGTGCAACCAGCACTCTAAAAACAGGCAACGATGAAAGATGTTATGCTCCGCATCCTGGTCTTCATCTCTCTGAACCAAAATCTATGTAGCATTGACACCTACCTCACTCGAGAAAGGGAGGACTGTGAGGCCATATCTCGCGCGGCGGCAATATTCAAAATAACAAAGGCATGCCAGTGTAGTTAAAGGTTTTTCCTGTTTTCCCTTTGGTGAATATCAATAGTTGAGGGTAGGGTGAGTGTCCCTGGCAATAAGGTCTCGAATGGCATCAGCGAATGCACCCGCAACCTGGATCATCCAAATGAAGACTGAGTTTTAGTCAATTTTATAGTCGGGGAAGGGCTTGCCCTTTCCACGTCATGCTCCATTAGTGCTAGGATGCGACGTCACGAATAAATAGTAATCCATTTTAAGTCCTAGGTACGTGTAATCGTGAAAATAATTATCCACGTGATGAAACGCGGACGAGTAGCACAAGTTAGGGTTGATGCCCTAGCCAGACCCGGTAGATCAGGTCCGACAACATTATAGTTCACACATGCTTGTATCGTAGATCAATTGAACTGAATATTACAAAACAATCTACATTAAGATGGTTTTCACGCCCCTACATACAAATTAGCTTAAGCCACCCAAGTATTATCTAACCCCTTGAAGCAAAGGGCCCTTATTTGATTGAAGTCCCTAGTTATACCACATACACACCCGGTGGTTTGAAAATTTACGGCTACCATACTCGTGCAAGCGACCTCTATTATTCGGCGGGAAAGAGGAGAAGTTTTGGGGCTCGTAGCATGCCTTAATGTACGGTTGAATGAGAAATCGTGAAAAGTAGCTCTGTCGAAGAATTGCTATAAATGAAGGCAAGCAATTTGCTAGACATGGGTATCCTTGGTGTAGCAGTGGAGTGTTCATATATGCTACACGACTTTCGAGAGATGACTTTGTTATACCATATAAAACTTTGGTGCAAAATTTATCCAATTGATACTTCCTCGCCATTGTTTTTGTCTAGGAGTAAGCCTTCACCTAGTGAGACGGCTTACTGAGTTTGTCTGCAATGCAAATTCGACAGTTTGCGGAATGGGGAGGGATAACGACGAGTAACGGTTTGATCAGCACGGGAAAGCAGACACGTAGAGTCCGAGTTACTTGCGCTTCAAGACTGGAGGAGTCTCGAGGCTCGTTGATACTGGGAAAGCCATGCAGCAATTCCATTTCGAGCTAAACATCTACAAGGTCGCGGCGGCGCTAGCGGTCGGGAAAACATTTCTTCCCCCTCTCTCGCTGAGATGTCGGATGCGCAAAGTTTATCGAGGCTGGTAGCGATCTTTCAATGTTTCAGCAATGCTCTTTTCTGACCCAAGGGGCCTATAATATCGTTGTTCAAGAGCGGCAGCTACATCTGTCGTAGCGGGTGCCTCACTGGGCTGACCAGCTTGAGCCAGGAAAGCAGTGCCAGCTTCGGTCGGCTCATGTAATTCTGCTGTGTGAGGATAGTCGGCAATGTTGGAATCATGGTCCAGACCCAGTTGATCACTTCTCGATCCAAGTGCCCAGAGTTTCCAGACAAGCGAGTTCCAGTCCGTTCGATGTAGCCAATCGACACCTGCAATGATTTCGGCATTCCAGCGCGCTTTGAGCATCTCCATGATGCTGAATTGTCGTTTCGGGGCTGGTTCAGCACGCGTGGGAGTAATGACTGCGATTTCCGTTGCTGCGAGCTGTTCTGCCTGAATTTTGAGAGCGCTCGATTGGGCGTAGCGATGGCGATGATGAGTGCGGACAGTCCAGTAGGCCATGCCGAGAGTCATGGCCGCTCCGCCACTCTATCGCTCATATTAGCCAATTTATATATCCATAATGACCAGCGAAAGGGCCTCACGAATCCCCTGATAAAGCCCATCCTCGCTGCCTGATAGTGATTAAGGAGAATGAAATTCTGTAGTGATAGTTTCCAGATGGTGATGTAATGACGCGACTCGGGCTAGCATCAACACGCTAGCCTTGACTAGCCTCTCAGACAAGGCTGTCGTGAGAGAGGGCAGCGGCGCCGCCGTAGTGAAGAACACTCCGTCCACATCAGCGCATCATGGCGGGTGGTCGTATGAAGTATCGCCATCTTGGCCGCAAGTCTTCGCATCGTCAAGCCTTGCTCCGAAATCTAGTCACTTCGCTCTTCACCCATGAATCTATTTCTACGACGTGGCCCAAGGCCAAGGAGGCCCAGCGGCTGGCGGAAAAACTCATCACCCTCGGCAAGAAGAATACCGAGTCGAGCCGCCGTAGCGCATTGAGCATCTTTTATGTGCGCCGTCCCCTCATCACGAAAGTGTGGGCGCCCTGCTAATCTACTGCTGAAGAAACCCCATGACCTACTCCCAAAGCTTTTTGGTCCACTGCGCGAGCGCTATGCCCTCCGTCCCGGGGGTTACACACGCGTTCTCCGCATCGAGCCGCTCAAGCCCGACCAGGCGCCCTCCGCCATTCTAGAGCTTGTAGATGGCCCAAAAGATATTCGCTTTGCCATGACGGCTAAAACTGTCTCCCGCACGCGCAAAGAGGGAAAGCCAATCAATGAAATTACCGACTTCTTCCGTAAAAAGGTTACGCGATTCCGACCGAACGGGGAAGCTGAATTCGATCAGATGGTTGAGAAGCTCAACACGCTCGAGGTTAGTGAGAGGAATAACGCAGATAGTAAAGAGCGTCGATGGGGAGGTCACGTCTAGCAAATGGAAAAAAATAAAGGAAGGAAATTAAGGCGACGGGCCTGACATCTTTGTTCAATAGCTTCTTCGGCATCTTAAACAAAGTCGAAAGTATCTCCTTTTTCACTCAACAGTTTTCCCGTGCGCATAGTGCCCACAATTCGCTCAAGTTTGAGTACATCCCATTTGGAAAACATACTCCGTGTGCTGACCGCCTCACATGGTATCAGCCCCTCCTGAATACTTCGGCCTAAATAACCACCAACTATTTCCTTGTAAAATAGAGGATTGTCTGGCAATCCATACATGATCACCTTTTGGACACCTTGTATCTGAAAGCGTCTGAAATGATGAGCTCGTTCGGTATAGAGAAGCACGCTATGCCGTCCACTGTAAAAGTGTGAACGCGCCCGAGCAATATCTGGGCCGGGTGTATACTCGGAAATACTACCAAATGAGACATTACTAGTTGTCTGAGAAGTCGAAAAGTAGTTTCTGACTCGCACAAAATCAAGATAAGAGGATATAAAAATCAGGGTTCCGCGGCTATCCTTGATACGACGTAATAATGAAGGCATAATTGCAGCAGTGAAATAGCTGAAGCGTGTGTCTGGATCTGTGGAAAAAGACGCCGAATCTAGCCGTGAAAAAGTTTGCTTTATTTTCAGTCCTAGACCCTGTATCGCACCATCATAAATTGGATTTATTTTGACCTTGCCAGCCCAATTTCGTGATTTGTTGAAAAATAATGTGTTGAGCTCTGGGGTATTGAAGGCAGCTAGAGTTATGGTTTGGCGAAAATACTTGGCCATATCATCGAGATACCAGCTTCGCACTCGGCTAAAATCGCAGCCATGGGTTTCTTTAGGTTGTAGATTTAAGTGATCAAAGATATATTCGACATGCTCCCAGTTCTGCATCAAGAGCGCGTCAGCTTGATCGACTACGACCAACTCGATAGAGCTCAAAAAGTCGAAATCAGTCTTTCCATCTTCTTTACCCTGCATTGCCATACGGAGTCCCAGAGGGCTCGCAAATATCATGTCCGAGTTATAAAACTGTGAAAAATACTTGACGGTCTTTCTAGTAAACTTCAATCCGAGACGGAATAAATCATCATCGTTACCTTTAAACAATTCCCGGAAGTCACTTGGCTTTTTCTCGGAAATAATGTCAGATTTGTCAATGTAGGAGTCTTCGAAGCGTTTGCGGTTCTCTTGTTGCTCCGGTTCACATAGTGAGATGATCATCTTGATCATCCGTACGCATGAGTGTCTGGTGGGGAGAAGGAAGAGAATCTTGGGTCTAGTGAACCCTTGATCTCGGAATTCTAAATCTAACTTTCCGTCACCAGAAGCAATTTTTGCATTATTTTTTATGACACGATCTCTCGTCCTAATAAGATGTGAGTTGGGATCAAACTAGCTCATAGGCTTTAAACTAACTTAGCTAGATGATTAAGAGAGTGTAAACAGACTATGCGTCTTAAGTTTTCTGCGTTCAGATGAGTTCGCTCACAATATAGTATGTCTTGGTAGTTGTAGATGAATGGAGAAAGGTTCATCTCTAATTTATTAAATTTTAGTGTCTGGTTAGATAGTATAGACTTGTGGAGCTTTGGCTTCAATGATAGTCCTTTGAGCTCTGTCACCGGTTGAAATTGATACGCCGCTGATTCTTGTTTTGGCCGACAAAAGGTAGCTTTACCGAGCTGTGGAAGGTCAAGTTTCTGGATCTGCCATACATCTTCGTCGAGATATTTCCGCTCTTGAACTTTGTTGTACTTATCTGGACTGGCAAAGTGGCTTTCGAAAGGGTCTAGTTCACTGATGACTGTATCATTAACATCATCATCATCTATGAAATCGTTGGTCGCGGTTTCCGGGCCCTCTTCGGCCTCTTGAACATCATCAATATCATGCGCAGGATCTAGAGCCTCTTCGTCACCATGAGTTCTTTCTAAGTTTGAATTATGTTCTATTTTCCTTCTCTTCTTATGTGGACGTATTTCGGCAGATAGACTTTGCATGAGCAGTGAGTATGATTTTACAGGTTCAAGTCCATCATCTTCCTCATCCTCCGAAGTGCCCAAATCGCTCCCTACTTCCAAGATTTGAGGTGTATCATCTGCCTCATTTTCGGACGGACCATCGCTTACACTGTGAATCGTTAGCTCCGGTACTCCTGGTCATGATGGAGTTTAAGACTCGTTTTCTTGAAGCAATATGCGTGCACTGTCAAACTTAGGTCTTTTGCGAGCCTCTGTGCCTCGACCTCGACCGCGACCACGAGCGCGCCCCCGAGAGACTTCCCGGCCGCCCTGGCGTAAATCACCCCGATACTTCGCCCCACGGCCTGCAAAGCTCCCAGTGCCCCGACTCCTGCTAGCAAATCGCTGATTTGGGCGGTTTAAAACCATTCTTTTCTTTCAAATTTAGTCTTCTGAGTGCTGTGCGTTGGCTCTTCGTTTGGTAGTAGAATTCACATGGAGACCTTTTCACTCATTCCGAATATTATCGCTGTTACAACTCAAGTTATAATTCAATTGAGAAATTATTATTGGGTCCCAGGAGATTGATTGTATTTTAATAAATAGAGACAAGGCTGAGATTTTCTCTAAAAATGAAAAGTATTTTTATGGAATTCTGCAGCCTGACACACCCCGGACTGTAGCAGACATCCGAGTAAACTTATCAATTTCATACCTGAGGCGTTCATCACTATTCAAGTTCTAATCAAAATCCTTGAACAACAAATGTATATTGCAGCCTAAGATTGTGTAAGACATTTAGGTTTTCACTGTTATAATTGAGAAAATAACATGACTGCATGACAATAAACAGTACAAATTTAAATAATGTGCACATACGCCATGAGAATATTAACTTATTTCATCATTCATTGTGATGACTAAGTATTTCACAAGAGATTCCCGGAGGCATCTGCTGGCGCTTGAATCTCTGACATCCCGTGGGGGACTATTCTTGACACATGTCAGTAGTGTTCCCTACGAACCTCCAGCTCTCACTATAGAGTCTGCAGAGCCGAGATTGAGTAACAACTTTTCAACTTTGAGCTGAGTTATCTCCCTCTCTGTCAAAGATACGCTTCCGATAACTCATAAGACGACCAAGACGACGATAATAATGCTGGGAACGAGGAAAGATAATGCGGTACCAAACGCGACAACGGTAGTCAGAGAAGCCCTCGTTATATCACAACATGTGCTACCCGCCGGCGGGCAAACAAAAAGCCCACGAAAGCAAAGTAAAAGACCCATCCGCCCTCAAGAAAAGCAGATTTCGACACGTCAAAAATATCGTCCCTACTAATCTATACCTCCGAACCTACTAGCCAGGAGGGCATCTGAAATATATGAGTTACTGGACGACCCCACGTCCCTAACGACTACTAGATGTTAGGCTAGGTTCCTTCACGACAGTCACTCTCGACCAAGACTTTTCTGACATCCTTTTACGACTTTCGGTTTGTCCTACGGCATGAATCAGGGGAGGAGTAAGGAGGAGGCTAGGAAGGTTGAGAGACACTCTTAGGTATACCCAGCTCTGCTGCGCCCGGCTGACCGGCCTCTTCATCATAGAAGTGCCCTGCACCCAGTGGTTTTTGAGACTTTTCCCTGCAGCTACACACCCGCAAATGGCCATCGTTTCGTTGGCTGGAGAGGGGAGATAATGACGGGATAACGGCTCCTCTTAGTGTGTACTCGAATGAAGACCTGTGGGGAAATTACTGCTGGAAAGAAGTCGCGAAGAAGGCAAAGGAAGGAGTACACTACCCGAGGCATATATACTCCCGGACTTTAGGCAGAAAGGACCTACCTGTCCTTATATAGTTATAGACTCATTAGGACAATAAACACTCACTTTGACGTCCCGCATTTTAGGTTCGACAAGGAAATATGTAGAAATGTCCACTAGCGTGCAGAAAGCCCTTTTTATACGTTTTATGTCCTATCGAGTCTAGGACTATATAAGGACAGGTAGGTCCTTTCTGCCTAAAGTCCGGGAGTATATATGCCTCGGGTAGTGTACTCCTTCCTTTGCCTTCTTCGCGACTTCTTTCCAGCAGTAATTTCCCCACAGGTCTTCATTCGAGTACACACTAAGAGGAGCCGTTATCCCGTCATTATCTCCCCTCTCCAGCCAACGAAACGATGGCCATTTGCGGGTGTGTAGCTGCAGGGAAAAGTCTCAAAAACCACTGGGTGCAGGGCACTTCTATGATGAAGAGGCCGGTCAGCCGGGCGCAGCAGAGCTGGGTATACCTAAGAGTGTCTCTCAACCTTCCTAGCCTCCTCCTTACTCCTCCCCTGATTCATGCCGTAGGACAAACCGAAAGTCGTAAAAGGATGTCAGAAAAGTCTTGGTCGAGAGTGACTGTCGTGAAGGAACCTAGCCTAACATCTAGTAGTCGTTAGGGACGTGGGGTCGTCCAGTAACTCATATATTTCAGATGCCCTCCTGGCTAGTAGGTTCGGAGGTATAGATTAGTAGGGACGATATTTTTGACGTGTCGAAATCTGCTTTTCTTGAGGGCGGATGGGTCTTTTACTTTGCTTTCGTGGGCTTTTTGTTTGCCCGCCGGCGGGTAGCACATGTTGTGATATAACGAGGGCTTCTCTGACTACCGTTGTCGCGTTTGGTACCGCATTATCTTTCCTCGTTCCCAGCATTATTATCGTCGTCTTGGTCGTCTTATGAGTTATCGGAAGCGTATCTTTGACAGAGAGGGAGATAACTCAGCTCAAAGTTGAAAAGTTGTTACTCAATCTCGGCTCTGCAGACTCTATAGTGAGAGCTGGAGGTTCGTAGGGAACACAACTGACATGTGTCAAGAATAGTCCCCCATAGCCGATAATAAATGAGGCAAGCTCCCGTTTGCGATTGGAGTAACGCCTTCATTGGTCACTGAGGCGAGTTTATATGGTAAGATTTATGGAGGACTCGTTTTTTATATCATTCAATGTTGGAATTACTGAGGGGTGGTTTCACGATCGATGGTAATAATTCATTAAAGAGTTGTACGATTCTGTGAGATGTATTCATGTTGAATGGGTCTTTTGGTATTAGAGATATTCATACTCTGTATTTCATTCGCAATTACCACTATGAGGTATGCTTGCTTACACAAACAATCGACCCTCCTCCGTAAGTACCCACCAAGGGAAATTTCAAAACTTTGGTTATTCAAGCATGCCTTCGTCATCTATGTATACCAGCGCCGCCAAAAATATATATGTGTTTTACCGGATTCGAATCAGCGATCTCCTGTCTCGAGTGGGATATGTGTCAAAGCTATCCAGAATCTACTTGGAAGACCGGCAAAGACGCGTACCACCGCACCATCTAGCCATAGCAGTATTTATTGTATCGCCTGCACTCAGGTTGCAAACTTTGGCGCTACTAGGGAACTAACACGACTGTGAACGAATGTAATTATGACGTCAACTTCCTGCAACTGGGCCGAGCTACCGAGGCCAGGATAGTCCTGTGAATAAATTATTCGATTGTCCTAGTTTGGCGCCTCGAGACCCATGCAGGTTTTCATCGGAAGATATACTTTTTTATGTAGGATGACTCAACTTGACGTCTAGAGCACTCACACTCAGATTTTATTTGCAGATACCACTCGAGGTTAACCCTTACGGCGTGTAACCTATTCTGTGCATACCTACCACAGGGAAAAGCGTGAAACTCCAATGGTTATCCGAGTATGCTTTCATCATCCCACAAATACAACATCACCGCGGGAGAGTGTGGTGTGCGGTGTTCACTGGTGTCGAACCGGCTTTATCTTGTCTCAAAAGGGGCAGGCGTTCAAGCTATCCAGAATCTACTCAGGAGAACGGCCCAAATGGTGTACCACTGCACCGTCCATTCGTGGATGCCTCAGCAGCTAGAGATATCATACCTTAAGCAACCTTACTAGTCGGGCTAGCAATCCCCAGCCCAATCCCATAAGATGCTATGCTTGTGTATGAGTTGACAGTGGCATGTCGTAGTTGACAGAAAATTTGAAACCTTCCTCTACTGTGTGATCAAGCGCGGGGGCCAAATTTTATCGGCAGGAAAACAAAATTCATTGTGGTAATTATGATTATAACCCTTGACATAAGTGTCTTCATTGTCAAAAGAACCATGTAGCATCTAAACGGGACAATAATTACGTGTCAAATCTAGATAGCTGAATACACAAAAACTAATTTCCAAAAGGATTAACCGAGCGCATTTCCAAGTCTTTTCGTGGGCACGGATGTAAAAGAATAATCAGCGCCATTCTTCCATGTAATTTTATCGTAAGACGAAGACAATTCAAGCTGCTAAAAACACGTCTCAGTTCGGAAATCACAAGTACAATCCCTTCTTTGTTTAGCCTGCCAAACATACACCCATGTCTCATTGTTAACTCAATCTGAACCCTCAAAGTGATGGCAGAAAACAACCTGTTTCAGCTGTCACCACTTGCCGAATTCCACCCGTCTTCACATTCCCGTTCCTGGGCCTCAGTACCAAATCCAGGACTCCAACCATTAATAGTTACAGCTTCTGCCGACAAAACAGCTCGCGTCTACTCGCTCGTAGATTTTACACTTCACTCTATCCTTGAGGGCGGCCACTCCCGATCCGTAAGGAGTGTCGCGTGGAAACCAGTTATCAATGAAGATGCACCCTTAACGCTAGCAACTGGAAGTTTCGACGCTACACTCGGGATTTGGCGGCACATCAAGGAAAAATGCAACGATGAGAAGCAAGACCAAGATATTATCTTAAAAGACTTCACCCACGCAAATCTAGCAGAATCGGTTCACCTTCAAAATGGGAGCGCCGAAACCGACGATGAACCTGACTGGGAATTCTCAATTGTTCTTGAAGGCCATGACTCGGAAATCAAGCACGTAGCTTATTCACCTTCAGGCCAATTCTTGGCAAGCTGTAGTAGGGACAAAAGTATATGGATTTGGGAAGAGATAGGAGCAGAAGGTGAGGCTGACTTCGAGACGGTCGCGGTATTACAGGATCACACTGCAGACGTAAAATGTATCTCATGGCGAAAAGATGACGGCAAAGGCGAGATGCTGGCGAGCGCCAGTTATGATGATACGATACGCTTCTGGCGCGATGTAGATAATGAAGGCGAATGGGAATGTACAGGAACCTTGGTGGGGCATGAAGCCACAGTCTGGGCACTAGAATGGGAGCCGGATGTATCAATCTCTCTAACCCACGCCACCTCTGAAGAACAAGAACAGAAATACACCCCAAGATTGATGTCTGCATCTGCCGATGGTACAATTCGAGTCTGGTCTCCTATAGCCACATCGCCAACACCCACCCGCCCCTCATACCATGACGTTTATATTCCATCAACTATGCGTCCAGCTCCAGCTATGGAAAAATGGGAAGTGACTGCCACACTACCAAAAGCTCACCAAATGCCCATATATAGTATTAGCTGGAGCAAGAAAACTGGTCGTGTAACAAGCTCTGGCTGTGATGGCAAGATAGTGGTCTATGAAGAGAGAACAAAAGGGAGGGGTGTGGAAAATTCTGGATCAGAGAGGGAGTGGGTCATCATATGCAGCTTGGATAATAGTCATGGGCCGTACGAAGTAAACCATGTTACATGGTGTGGAAGATGGGATGACGGACAAAATGGAGAGAATGAAATGATCGTTTCAACTGCTGACGATGGCTCCATCCGGGCCTGGACTCTAGATGAGATCGCAGCATGATTGGGTATGACTTTATCCTTTCCAACTCCTCGCAGTGGAGCATCTGCTTGGTGGCAGTCACACCTCTGGCATGGGTCTAAAATGCGGCGAAAATAGTGGTGAATCCACTTCATTTCAACCACACAACCTCTAATAGTCCCTTGATTTCCGGTGTTCCACCTAGTGAGCATGATATCATCTGCCTCAACGGAGTTCAGTTCGTGAAGAGTGTAGATTGTCAAAGATGCCAGCTGATGATCCGACAACAGTCGTGCTATATAACGTACTTCAAGCCAGAAATAGATATCTTTTCATAAATGGAAAGAAAGGTAAGAGAGTGGCACCACCATAAATTTCGTGGGGGTGAGCAATTTCTATTTACCAACTCAGTAAGGTTGAGCTAAATATCTCCTTACTCAGCTAGATAAGCCCGTATATCAACAGCACCAAAAATATTTAGTAGGGCAAATGTCTATCGATAGTATCTTCACGCCTTATAACTTGGTAAGTGATTGAGAAGCTTAATAACATCCCAGCCACGATTTTTTCATCCAACCTGCTTTAAGCATCGTACACTGCCATTGATACTCTTTCGAATCACTTGTGAATTGTCGCTTCATGCACATGAAATCTATGTAATTTCTTAGTTTTTACAATCGTAAAATATTAAACTTTGGACAGACACAGTCTCTACATCGATCAAAGGTCTTCTCAATGAGTCCACAGCCCTTATGTGGGCACTTACTCAGCCAACACTATGTTAGACGGACCTTCATCTGTTAATTACGTTTATTCTATTCCCCCGAGTAAATACTTCTAGTAACACCCATAGGGCATCGAAGATAGTAAAATTAGTAAGGAGGAGAAATATTGCGGTTTCAAACGCTAAAAAAGTAGTTTGACACTTACTCTTCAAATCCTAACGATAATTCCAAGCGTCAGCTCAGCGCATAGCTAAAGAGGGTTAGATGGAAGACTTGGTTTTCTTGTAACCAGCATTATTTGCACGGTCAAAATATTTTCTTTCAAAATAAAAGTGTCCGATTTGAATTGATAGATGAGCTTCAATCTCACAAGAGTCACTTGACAGCCCGATATCTCTCATGATTTTCGGAGGCTAAAATAGGTGACTTCACGGAAGTTGCTCTCAGCCTAGACTTTTCTGGGATCGTGGCATGCCTTTTATGATCTCCGCTACAGATTGCGCTAGGGGATTGGAGAACAAAGAAAAGAGCGTTTAACACTTTAAGGTATTTAAAGCTCTCCTTCACTCAGCTCAACGGTCTCACTTAACCCACGAGAAGGCTAGATTAATCTTCGTGTATAATCCAGACGGCGGTAATCAGTGACGCTCATGCTCGCATATGGAAATTGCCCCGATGGCTAGAGAGATCTTATGACTAGATATGGGTTTCCCTAGTTGTGTATACGAATCAATCACTGTGAGGTACCGCCTTTGAAGAGAAACCATGAAAGTGGCATAGATGGTAGCATGCTACTTGAGGTATAAGCTCTCCGAACTGTAAGCGGAACATTCCAAAGATTTCGAATAAGATATAGCACTAGAGATCAATATAAAATGTCATCCCATAGATTTTAGATCACCTTGCGTTCAGCTTGGTCTGGTGGTAGATTCTCGGCAGTCGGGATAACCGCTCTCTCAAAAGTATGGCGGATTCTTTTCTCCAAATCAATGCGACGAAACATGGTCGGTATTTTCTTATTTCGTATAGTTGAATGGCAACACTGGGATCATATTCCCTTGGCATACTTTAGAAGGCAGTGCGGCTCGGTCTTCGTTTTGGCTGTATGGTAGGTCAACTGTTTGTAGAGATTTATTTTCGGCTCCTCTCTCGCGTCTCCACCACTCATCTGAGCCTAGCATTATCTAATGCTGTGAAAACAACACCCTCTACCGCTCACTGAGGTATCTCAAAACCCCCTTTCCCGGAAAATAAATACCTCTTGCTTAGTCTCTAGTTAGTATTTTACCTTTCTAGCCCGACTTCCCTCGTCACTACTAAGCCTCTAAGCGACTAAGCGCTGTAGGCCATGGCACCGATGCTTTTACCTTGATTGAACCCTTGTGTAAATATTCAAGCGGTATGTTCCAATTTTATCTGGAGATGCTCGCCCAAGATAGAGTTGTGAAGACGTTGAGCCAGTGGGGTTGAAACTTCAGGCTGCTACGCCAATAATTCTCAAAAAGTACACGGTATTTTTCAAAGCTATGAAATACTCCCGTATCATGCGCAGTAAGGTTGAGCGTGGAATGATTGTACTACATTGGTGATAGCGAGAGGCTTGCAAGCTAAGTGAATCGGCAAAAAGCTTCTAACAAAAAGAAACGCTTTGAGTGATATTGATAGGCTGAATCTGGAGTCTAAACAAGCATGAGTCCATCTGTCAAATATGTTTAGTTGAAAGATGATTAGATCCTTAGCTCAGCTTCGAATAAATCCAATTCTTCATGAATCATTCTGGCTGCCATGTTGTTGAAAAGCTTCGAGCGATCCCCGTTAGCAACTAGGTTTTACATTGCTATGGATACTTCATATTTATATTTGTATGGATCACTGTTAGTAGATGTTCTGCCTCCTTTCCACTTGTTTGCTATCCCGGTACGGGTTACAAAGTCATGTACCAACAAGCCCAGTTCTGAATTAGACGATTCGCCGTACGATGCCGGCATCAACTACCACTTTTTGAGTGTTGGGAGAATATTCTCTTTGCGCATAAACAAACGGAGCTCCAGGCAGCCGAAGACTCATAAGAGCCTGGTCTACTCTCTGTCGTTCTTGAAAAGAAGCTACACGGCGAAGTCTCCTGTGGGAATACAGCTCATCTGATTCAGGGATTCCTAGTCACTACAGCCGCCTGCTGAAGCACGATGACGAGGGTTTGAGTTCTGTAGCTTGAGCATTCCAAAACAGCTGGCCAGAAAGAGAGGCACCCGTGCTTATACCAAATCGGAGGATAAGTCGAACAATTCGGAATCTGTTCAGCAGTAGTCTAGGTATTGTAGCCAGTAGAGTTAAGATGCTAGATGTACCGCCGCCTGTCTTATGGAGAAAGCGCCTGATATGTGTAGCAAACACCCGTATTGTGACTGGTAATCAAACCGATAGATGAGTGCAGAGTGTCAAAACTTCTGGGTCGCGCTATTAACACCCTTAATCCAGTATCAATTACTCTTTGTGGCTGCAATACGAAGGACAAATATCTTTTAATGCGGGTTTAGGCTTGTAACGATTGGGCACTTAATTATGATTCTAGGATCCCCCGAGTCCTGCCCTGTGTCGTATCAAATGTATTTTCCCTCCTAAAACTTAACTAGTCCTTATCCTTCATAATCATAAACTCATTAGGGACTAACTTCAAATTCCATTCGATTCATCTAGTCCTCTACTTTGGGTAGAGAATTATATTCTGAACCGCCAGTGCGCATTTCTTGATGATTTTCCCTCTTTTGTTTCACGTTCCGATGGCGTAGATTCTCTCATGTGTTGCCTCATGAAAGTATGCAAAAATAAAGGGCAATATGGTGAAGGAGACAAGTAACTGGTACAAAGGTTTCCCTCCAAATTTTCGCTACGAAACCTTGAGGGGTCCGAGGACCGTCGGTCACTTATGTACGATCCAGAAAGAAGACCCACATCCTCCTGCAACTACGATGGACTGTCTATCTCGGGGGTTTTGGAGATGGGGAGATTCTGACTGGTCGTTTCATCACCCAGACAAATTGCATAATTCCTTCTACTTGATGAGTGAAATCCAGATTCCTAAAACCTAGCTAGCGGTCGAAACTCTTCTCTGAACAATATTCCACTCAGGGCTTGTAGTCATTATAGCCTGGAGTAGATTTGTCACTTCCGAAACCTCATCGACTGTCTCGTCTACCAAGCTCTCAATTTGACTGATCGTTAATATATCTGCCAGCCTATCTACATGCTATGATCCCATCTGAGCCAGATTCAGCGACTGTCACTCCTGTCTAGTCACGTGTAGATTGTGCGATAACGCTAGTGAGAAATGTCGTTCAATTTTGCGCCCAGACGATGGCAAAATGTGGTAAGCCTACATTTGAATCTTTCGGCCTGCGAATAGACCCAACTAAGAATGGCGCTCGGCGAAAGCGATGCCTCCTTGACATCATCATCACATACTATGATGGCTATGCCTCCAGCGTCCGACCTCTCCAATGTGTCCGCAACCGCATCAAGCGTTGAACTGACCGAACTACTCGCCCCTAGTAATCGGCAAAATTTCATAATTCCTGCGCCTGACATTCCTGATGCGAGTCTACATTTTGTCAAGAGTATTCTAGATGACTTTGCTGGGGCACTCGCTGATGAACAATCAAGTCGACTGAAGACTAAAAATAACAAAGGTCGTGCTGGTGGCAGGTCTAATGCAAGATCTATGCTTCAAATAAGAAAAATTCACACCCATGGATTCGAAGTGGAAAAGATATGGGAACAGGCGCGGCGGGTTATCGATGCCCTCAGAGAAGATGTAGAAGAGAATCTACAGGAAATAGAGCAATTGAAGTCAAGTAACCACACTGACACACAGTCTAAGGAAATTGCCGAGACAATGAATCTTACTGAGGATAATTCTCAATTACAGTCTAGTGGCAAAGCAGAACAGGATGATCCAAACACGACTGACCAAGAAGACAACTCCGAAATGGACGAGGCAAGTGAATTTTACGATGAACAAGACCTGCAAGAAGAATCTGACAAAGACAATTGGGAGGATGAAATTCAGGAAGATGAGATTGGTGATAAACATAGCTCAATAGCTACTTATCATGAGGATCCACACGGCCTTAACGATGGATTTTTCTCAATCGATGAATTCAATAAATTGACAGAATTTCTTGAACACCAGGACACTATGGCAGATGAAGTCATGGGCGACTCCAGTGATGATGAAGAGATTGACTGGGACGCAGATCCTTCAGCAAAGAATGTCAACTCAATCTTCAAAACTCAGAAAAAATCCAAAACAAACCCCAAAAATGATGAAGAGGCTTCGGATGGACCAACCTTTGGAGATATGGATCTCAACGCTCCCGATGGAGAGAGCGATGAAGACGATTTCGATGGGATGGAGGAGGACACTGATACAATTGGTGATAATACTAATGATATAATGTATCAAGATTTCTTTCAACCACCACCTCGAAAAATTGGTAAAGGCGAGCGTCAAGCAAATTATCTTGAAAGAAACCAAAAGAAACGTGATGCGTTGGAGCCTGAAGATCAAGAAGCCACTCTGAAAAGAGCCATGGCTGATGTTCGTCGAGATATTTTCGATGATAATTCGGAACATAGTAACTCAGACGAGGAAGCTTTAGAAATAGACCCAGCCGACCCCCGAACTAGAAGATCCGCGCACGAGCGTAAACAGGCTAAAATACTGCAGGAGATTCAACGGCTTGAAGCAAAATCTATAGCCAAGCGGGAATGGACACTCTCTGGTGAAGCACGGGCATCAGATCGGCCACAAAATTCTCTATTGGAACAAGAAATCGATTTTGAAAGAACAGGTAAACCAGTCTTGGAGGTAACGGCAGAAATAAGTGAGAGTATCGAGGAACTAGTAAAGCGAAGAATATTGGCGCAGGAGTTTGATGAGGTGATTCGACGGCGTCCTGAAGATTTGATAAAAACAAATTTACGAAAAGGTGCGTTTGAGCTTGACGATAGCAAACCTCAGCAAAGCTTAGCAGAGATGTATGCCGAGGACCATTTGAAGGCTAAAAACCCCGAGACTCACATGAGCAAGGCTGATGAGAAGATCAAAAAGGAAGAGAAAGAGATTGAGATATTATGGAAAGAATTAAGTGCAAAGCTTGACGCATTGAGCAGCTGGCACTTCAAGCCCAAGGCTGCCGCTCCAAGCTTGACCGTGGTATCAGATGTGGCTAAAGTTTCAATGGAAGACGCACAACCTACTATGGCAAGCGGTATCAATGGAAGTGAAAGTATGTTAGCACCACAAGAGATCTACAAGGCCGGCAAGGATAAGCAAGATATCGCGAAGGGCGAAGTAGTCCTCGCGAGTGGTGCACCGGTAGCGCGAGAGGAGATGACTAGAGAAGAAAAACTAAGGCGAAGGAGGAGAGCCAAGGAAAGACTTAAGAAGCGCGGAGAATTGGAAACCAATAAGGCTCAGCGCAGCGTAAAGACGAATCAAAATAAAGAAACACTTCTTGATCTTAAGAAAGGAGGAGTAAAAATGATCGGTAAAAAAGGCGATGTACGCGACATGAATGGGCGTCAAGCCGATACTTCAGCCAGTTATTTAGGTGCTGGTAGATTTAAATTGTAAAATATGTATAGCCTCCAGCAATCTCATTAAGGAATCGTGGCGCCAAACCCGATGTTTGGTAACCAGTTTATCGGGCTCCTTTAACTTTAGTTATCGAGGTAAGCTCCGGTGCACCCACAATAATCTGTGATTCTTTAATTTTGCTTCCAGTAGCAACATCTATAATAATCAGAATTTGCTTGACTACACTTCCGAGTTTCCTCATTATTCGTGCAAGACAGCCAGCGCCCGCCTCACTCTATAAGAGCCAGACTGTTTGACGGCTATTTGCAATACGGATAAGCTCATGCCGGCTGATTGAAAAGATTCGCCCAACATCACTTATGCTCTGAGTAATACAAAGTTCGCTGGTATAGATGACTTGTTTTCAAGATTTCAAAGCGCTGTATTATCGGCTTTGGCCACCAAGCAGCCATACTATTGAGACCTATATGGTCCTCTTATCTCGTCGTCTTGGAACAATTGGAGGTATCCTGATAGACTTTCTCTAACGTCACGACACTGCGATAAACTCCACACATGTCTAAGCGGACGATATTTGGTATTGAGAGGTAGATGTGTGTATTAAACGGCACGGAAATAACTAGAGAGACGTCCGAAGTAGATTGAATTGTCAGTCTTCCTAAAATGTTCCTTCACTGCCTCATATATATTCGAGCTCTTCTAGATCCATCCCACCTTTTCTCTTGGCCAATCGATATCAACTGATCCGAACTCATGGAAAAATAAATGGCACACCATGTCAATCTTAGTAAGGTTACAGACTCTCATGTTTCTAGTACGAGGGGCGCGCGTAAATGACTGGTGTTTCAATAGAGTGACAGCGCGATGGACTGCTCCCACAAGGTAGCCCCGAACTCATGTTTAAAATTTCTATCGGAAAGCTCATGGATAAGGAGCAACCTCTGGCGGTGTATAACAAAGACACTGATTCCTAAAATCCTCCTGCCCACACACGTCCCAGGCAGATATGCTGCCTCCTCGTAGTCACAAGTATCTCAAGCCAATCCAAACCCACTCTGAATCAAAATGATTTATCTCTCCAGGCTCCACTGCTATCCTGAACTAGTATTCCACGTCGTGCCGTCAAATCATTCTGATTGTGGGTTCAAACTTTATTGCCCAATTTCAATACCTCGGTATCTTCCCCATATTCCCCCAACTCATGACGAGAAGTGCCTTATCTTGCCTTTTGGAGCGTGTATGGATATGTGATCATGAGGGCTCGAGACGAATTGGAGGCTATAGAGAAGTTTTACAGTTCCTGTTATCAAGAAAAGAACGACTATTCAGTTTTGAGGTTGCAAAGCACATGCAAGTAACTAGAGATATGAGTTTTAGTCACGAACATTACAAGTTGGCCTATCTTTTGTTATTCTATTTATTATCCTAGTGGGTCTATGACCACATATGTACATGCAGATATCTATGCCTCGGGTATTGAACTTCCTCTTACGCCACCTACACGGCTTCTTTCTAGCGGTGATACATCCGGAGGCCTTCATTTGCGTAACCTCTCAGGGAGCCCGTTTTTCCGTCACTATCTCCCTTCTCTGGCAAGCGAAACGATAGCCATTTGAGTGTATGTAGCTGTTGGGAGGAGTCTCAAAAACTACTGGATACGGGTCCTCATAATACCAAAATTAGGACTAAATCAGAGGACATAGCTACCCTTTTGAAGCCCTCACTGAGCTCGTCCATCCGAGCACAGCAGACCTATGTATACCCAAGAGATTCTCTCCTCCAGATACCTACGGCAGGACATGTCAAAGTTCATGAAAGGATTTTGTTGGAAAATATACTCTGTACGATATTATATGGATAAATATGATGAAGTAAAGAAGACTTAATATTTTACAACTATGGGAACATTGGACTTATATATACATCTAAGGGAGAAATTCCCGCTAGCCTCGTGTGCCTGTCAAACCTAGTGATGACTAGCCACCTCTCATCTACCATGATGAGCCAAGGTACACTGTAGTACGTAAATATCCAAACGTATAGGCGACAGTAGGCGCGATTAGCGTACTCAGGACATTTGTAGAGAGAGTCGATCTTGTCGGGAACCTGAGACGAAACAGGTAATGATTAAGTCCTAAATTCGAGAGTCAGAATTTCCAACAGATTTCAGAACGTCTTGGTCGAGGGTGATTGCCGTGAAGTAGCTTTGCTTATCGTCCAAAAGCCGACACAGACTCGGGGTTGTTGTCATAATAATCGTGACTTACTCGCAGCGATATATAGACATTGACTAGCTCCTAGAAACCTAGTCGAGATCCTAAATATACACCTGGGACAAGGAGGGTCTTATAAAGTAAAATTCTAATGAATCTGGGTAGGGCGGAATGAAAGCTCGCTTGGCTCTCGGGACATACGAGTCTGAGCTTCTTTTTTTTGCATCAGATTTTAATTGCGTATGCAGCTATCTAGCTATGACACAATATCAAAGAAAAGTACAGAAAAGATGACTCAGTTTATAATAGGAGCACTCATGCCTCGGATTTCATTTGCAAGTACCACTGCGAAGTTATGGTGGCTTTTTCTTCACCCCAAGTCAACCCTCATCCGTGAATACCCACCCAGGGGAACGTCTCAAAAACCCTGAGTTATCCAGACATGCCTCTGTCATCCATCAACTTTTCTCCGCGCGAAATGTTATCTGAGATGTCTCCTTCCCAAGTGGAGTAGGTACCCAGGCTACTCAAACCATACCAGAGAACATCACCAGGAGGCGGACCACAACACCTTCCATCGTTTGCTTGTTTTTATAGTGTCAGCTGCACTCTCACAAGCGAAGTCTTGGCACGCACAAAGCCCAATTCGTAAAACTCTTGCCAAAATTCAAAATTCCACGCCCGTCGAAAAACGTATCCCTCTTCTGCATCATCTTGTGAACTTGTCCTGATCCCTCTCACGTCCGTCCCAAAGAGCTATCTCCCAAAATTGTGCTCCACGCTTTGCTTCCTCCGCCGGGTATAAATATCGGCGTGGGCGTGTATTAAGTGACCGGCTGAGGCCAGAGAAAGTCGACGAGAGGTGTGGTCATTGAAACGAGGATGTACTAGGTCGTACTTGTAGACTTGATGAAGCTTAGTTGAGAATCGGACTCTTTGGGAGTGAAAGATTGACGTGGTGGAGTAATTTGAATTTTTGCCTCGTGGGCCAACTTCTTTGATATTGCGAAATTTGACTGAACTTGGCTCTGGGAGAATATTTCACTCCCAGGTTCGTAGAGGACACCGCGTACAGGTGTTCAGTCTTGCCCTCCAGGAGTGGGGCTGCTGCGGTGATAATTTCGTTACGGATTGGGGGAAGATCGTCTCGCACCCCCAGCTAGATCGCTTGTCGACCGATCACGTAATCAGTGTGCAGCGTAGCAAGGTGTGCTCCCATCTGAGCGACTTTACCATCTATCTTTTGTCAATTGTAGAGATGAAGCAAGAAGATTTTATTTAATGATTCTAGCAAATTTTATGTACAAGATATCACGGGAGGAAGCTCACATGATAGATGGTGTACCACCACTACATCAATGATCCATCTCTCATGATGCTCATACTACCACACTAACTACCTATGCACCATCTACTAGATCTAAAATACCACGTAGCTGAGCATAACACATTTACAATGTGCCTTCGATGCTGTTCTACACAACCGCCTAGTGATTAAGATGGATAGACTTAATTGTAAAATGATCGACATTGTTCCTTGTACACCAAACGGTCCGAATCCGATACTCGGAGGGAGTTATTATAGAGCGACAGCTAGTCTACAGAGTACCACAGGGCCTATTAATCTCACTGCTTCTCTTACTGCTCTAGATGGTAGAGCCAATGCATGGAGGCAACACAAATCTAAGTTTCAGTTATGCTGACCACATCGGAATTTTTGGGTTGGCCCCACGACAGCCGAGTCCGCTGCCGCCGCTCAGAAAGAAGTCGATCGCCTACTAGATTGGGCGCAAAAAAATGCCGTTCGATTTAACACAGAAAAGTCAGGGTTAGTCCAATTTCCACCACGATATATTAAGGCAGTTGTTGGTGTCCATATGAATGACATCCTAACAGAACCAACCGAACATGTTCGCTGGCTTGGAGTTCAATTGGATCCTAGACTTAATTTCAAGCATCATGTGATGGCTTGGTTCGGAGAAGCAATGAAAGTCGCTCGGTACATGCGGCACTTCAACTCCACAATTCGAGGGTCTGCACCAGAAGAGCTGATAAGAGTAGTAAATACTTGTATTGTACCAATTTCGACTTTTCAAGCGGAAGTCTGATGCCCAGGCCTCAAACGCCTGACAAGAGCTAGAATGGCTACGCCGCCTATCACGAGCCTTTGTAAAATGACCGATAAAGCCGTTCTAATGGGCCTCCAATCTACGCTTCTAGTCCTGTGGTCTACTCCGAATGTCTTCCTGCACAGGGAAGGAGAAGTCTCCCCTGCAAACATTATTCTAGAGGGAAGCCAACTACAAATTTCAGCCAGAATATAGAGCATGGATGATATGCATTCTCTTAGGTCTCGTGCTGCTGTATGCCGAAATACTGGTACTCGGAAGTACAAGAAGAACCTACGACTGTTTGTTTACATTTATCGAAAATCGACTCATGCACAGCGAGCTTATAGACAACTCCCAGACGCAAAAGTTTCGATGCCATTGCCACCACCATTTTACCCGACCAGGCCTATGATAAGATCGGAAAGAAATGAGACAATCAATCTTTGGATAAACAATCCGCCGGCATCAAAATTGTGCGCTTACTCGGGCAGCTCATCGCAGAAAAACAGATGGTCTGCGTGGGAGCTCATTCTAAAGATACACGCCAGTTTTGCATGTAATTAAAGTCAGTCATTAAAACAGTCATGAGAGTTCCTGGGCATTCAGGAATTTAGGAGAATGAAGAATTAGACGAAACATCATGATCCAGCTTAGGAATATTACCCAGTATTTAGACATCTAGTCAGGACTCGTCTCTTTCCTATACCTACGC